AGCAGGCATCTGCTGAGCAAATACCACTGGGCCGACACGGCTAACGAGGCAGTAACATCCTGCGAGACCCTGGGCCGCTCAGTGTGCTGTGGGGCCTTCAGGAGGCTGAGCTGCTCCACCCTGCACCCCAGGGACTCAGCCGCCCCACCACCCACCATGCATCTCGGCGGAAACAGAAGGAAAGAAGTTCCAGGCTTTGCCGGCTGGTCACAGCCCCCTCCATCTCCTGTAGACGCGGCTCGGTGGCCACCTCCCCAGGACCCCCCACAGCAGGGAGGCCCCCACCTCTGCTTTGCACGTGCTCTCCCCTTTTTTGAAAACTGCTTTTCTCTTGTCATCAGAGAGACACAGTTGGCGCTTCTGTGTCAACGCAGATAGTGCCTGCCCTTAGATCCCGTCTCAACGCTGGAGTCACAGGCCAGGCTAAATTAAAAAAGCAAAACGTGTCTGACCCGATAGCTGACTTCATGTGCAGTGGAAAAAGCAAAAAATAAACACTGAGAGTTGATGACACCTGTACCATCTGTGGGCATGGTGCCCAGACAGGGCAAGAGCGAGGGAAGGGTCCACGCCCCTGCCCTGCACACAGGGCACCGGTGGGTCCCTGCAGCGGCCAGGAGCAGGTTCCACCGGAAGCTGTGGTCTGTACTGTAGAAACTGCCCTCCCCCGGCACCGTGGACCTCGGTGCGCAGGGCACACGACCTGTCACCCAAGCCTCCAAGTTCTCAGAGAACGCCCACCACCTGCTTCCATCTGCTTGTCTGAGAAGTGGCCCAGGGGGCAGCATCTCCCCATTTCATTTTTATCTTCGGTTTTTTCTTGCTCAGACGCTCTGCAGGATGAGTTTTGGAACTGGCTTTGGTCTGCACGGTAAGAAGTCACTGCAGTACTGATGGGATATGGTCACCTGGTGATCAGGGAGGGTTTTGCCCTAATTTCGTGGAGGAGGAAAGGGAGCGCTGAGGAGCCAGGCAGCAGCCCTTCCGCCCCTGCACTGTGGCCCCGGCTGCAGCTGCGGGGGCCGCTGCCTCCCTCCCGGCTGCCCCGTGACTAACCCTCCTGCCACGTCTTCCATGACTCTTTTGATGAATATTTGCTTGGCATCGACTTCGAATTGACACCCTCCTCTCTCATTTTTTACTCAACTTCATCATAAACAGTACAATTATTAGCGTGGGTTATGTCATTTTTTTTTCTTAAAATACATTATTATAAGTACAAACCAGTTAATACATTTCAGATGCGTCACCCACGCACCATGAAAGTGCCTCGAGGGCCACCGGGGAAGCATGTCCGTCTGGGAGCTGCTGGGCCAGCCGGCAGAGGGCTGGAGGCTGGGGTCCCTGGGCTGTGAGGTGACCTGCTCCTATCCTGCCTCCCCAAGGGACTATCCGTAGATACACTGTCAGACCTCTACCTGGAACACGATCGCCTGAGTGTGCTCAGCATTTTTGGGGCACACGCAGAAGAGAACCCAGACCCCCGACCCGTGCCCCCAGCCCCACGTGTGTCTCTACGTGTGAGCTCCACGAGGACAGGGGTCTGGGTCTGTCTTGCTCCCTGCTGTGTCCCCGGCACCTAGGACAGTGCCTGGCACGCACTAGGTCCTCGGTACGTATCAATGGAATATATGTGTGCGTGGGTGAAAGAGGGAGCTGGAGTTTCCCCCCACAGTCTGTTCCTCTCCAGCCTCCAGGCCTCACTGGGTTACCATGCAGTGTGGTTGTGTCACCCCTGCTCAGAGCATCCTAATGACTCTCTCCGGTTTTCACAGTGCTGTCGAACTGTGTCCCCCATGCTCTGCTCCGCCACACTCAGATTCACACGTTGAAGCCCTAACCCCAAATGTGGCAGTGTTCGCAGGTGTAATTCCAAGGTGATTAGGTTTAGGTCATGTTAAGAGGTTGAGGCCCTCGTGACGGGATCAGTGCCCTCACAGAAAGAGGAGGAGGACGCAGGGAGAAGGCCGTCGTCTGTAAACCAGGAAGAGAGATCTTACCATGGACCCAAACCTGCCGGCGCCTTGATCTCATGCTTCCGGCCTCCAGAGCCGTGAGAAGCGTGTCTGTGGTTTTGGTCCCCCAGTCTGCGGTACTTTGTCACGGCAGCCTGAGCTAAGACCACGACCTTACGATGGTCTTCAAGGCCCCAGCTCCTTCCACCTGTGAGCCGCACCTGTGCCCTCTCCTCCCTGCTGGACCGTCCGCGTTGCCTTGGATGTGCCAGGTTCTCGCCTGTCAGCGTTTCCGCAAGCTGCTCCCTCTGCAGGGACACTCTCCCTCTGTTTATCACCTGGCCGACTCCTTTGGGGCTCAGTTTACCCCTCACAGCCTGGGGACGCCCGTGCTGACCACCGTCTCCACCCGCTACCTTCCCCTGCACCCCACAGCACTGTGGGGTTGCCCCTTTGTATCAGCGGGACGGGCGAGTGACAACCCCAGAACCTAGGCGACGTCACACAACGAAGGTCTACTTCTCACTTGGGGTCCATGTTCAAAGAAATTCCTTGGGGCCTTGTTCCCCATCCCCAGTTAGGGACCCGGGTGGATGGAGGCTCCACTCTGGGCACAGCCAGGAGGAGAGAGAGTGTCGCGAACTCAGCCCTGCCCTAGCTGCCTCTGACCCAAAGTGCCAGGGGTCACTGCTCACGGCCCATTGGTCAGACCTAATCACCTGGCCCCAGCCTACCTGGGAGGGGGAAGAGAAATACACGAACTCCTCTGTGTGCTCAGGAAAGGAAAATACAACGGAATGGTCTCTGCCGTCACCCGTCATAGAATGTTCCTATTTAATTTCTGCTCATTCCCTGGGCCAGACTGAAGTTCCTCTGGTCCCTGGATTTCAGGTTTCTCCCCAGTTTTACCCTGGGCACATAGCATGGGGCCCTGCTGAGGGACCACGAAGGTTTGCGAAGGATCCGCGTGGAGCACAAGCCCAGTCAGGACCCACGGCCAGCTGCTCCCAGCGGACACCTGAGTCCCTGGGTGGTACCCTGGTTTCTCAAATGCCCTGCAGTGTGTGCCAACAGCAATCGGTCGTTTCTTCACCCGTCTACCCTCCGCTTCCACGTCACTGGCAAACGTCGAGGACCTATGGAAAATCCTAAACACACTCCGTCTGTCTTGTCTGTTTTCCATTTTGTGTTTGTGCTGTTTTTTGTACAATAAACAAGGTAAAAGCAAAGAGATAAACAGCGTGAGGTTTAAAGGGTTTTTAATGAATGAACAATACCTAACTGTTCCGAGAATGTGAATCCTTGGTTTACATTGATAGTTGGAAAACACAGCATTTGGACGGCAGCCAGTTTTCCAGGGTGAATAAACACCTCGAGAGGGACAAATATTTTTCACAGACCATCAGTGAAACAGAGGCTCAAATATTTAAAAGTAAATACATAAAAAGGGAAGAAATAAAGAAAAGAAAAGGCAAGCTGACCCTGCTGACCTTCAGTTTCCAAATGAGCTAAAAAACAAGTTTTTATAGTTATGTTTACTGCTTCCAAAGAAACAAAACCTTTTATTTTAACTCCTCTGTGCCACTGCTCCCAGAGTGAGTTTTTCTAAAATGTCACTCTTGAGATTGGACGAGGGTCTTCACTCTTTAGGCCTCAGTTTCCTCACCCGTGAAATGGAGATAATTGTAATTCCTCATTCACAGGGTAATTATGAGAACTAAAGAGGTTAATGTATGCAAAGGGCTTAGACCGGGGCCTGGCACCTGTGAGTTCCACATACGTGTGAGTCATCACCACCATCATCGCCGTCATCACCGTCACTGTCACCACTGACGTTATCGTCACCATCGCCATTATCACCACCTTATGATTATCATCACCAGCCTCATTACCAGCACCGCCGTCACCATCACCATCGTCACCCGTCTCACTACCATCATCATCGTCATTATCAACAGTTACAAACCGCGTTTGATGGAGGCAGTGAAAGTAGCTATCAGGGACCATCCCCCGGTTGATATCAGACAGTGACCATCCAGTGGGACGTAAGCGTGACTGTTGAGCATAGACCTAAAACATGAGTATATTGCTGTTCTCCTGGCTTCGCCCCAGTGAGGCACAGCACGCATGTCCACGCACTTCATACACCCACACACTCGACCCCTTTCTGAAAATCCTCTGTACTACTTCTGCTCCGCTGTGGGGATGGTGACATAAAGGCAGCTGCTAGGCTGGGCAGTTCTCAAGAACTCACGCAGTAGCAGAATGCTTCTTCTCGATCCACCGTTGCCAGGCTTGCAGAAGCACGTGCTCCAAACTGTCAGCAGTGGCCGCCCCCAGGAGCAGCACTAGAAATAGGGCGCCCGCAGGTCCCTAGTTTGTGCCTGGTTTCCCCCTGGTGTCATTACTCATAGCGCTCCAATTACGAAGTATATGATCACAACAATTTTAGTGATTTCTTCTCTTCTTTTTACTCATCTCTATTTTCTAAGCTTTCAACAGGAAACTCTTCTAATAAAGAGGAAACCAGTACAAGTGACAAAGCACTAGCTCAGGTGCCTCCTTCCCCAGAGAGGGTTCCCTGCTCCCCCAGCATGAATCATGCCAGGCAGCATCTTCTCCAGCCTCTTCGTGGCCGGCTGGCGTTAAATATTGGCTACCGAGCAGGAAGCTGGACAGCCCCACCCCCAGCTACTTGTGTCATGACGGTCCGACTAGTGATGGTGAGAAACTGAATCACTCCTATGGGAGGCATAACACGCAGAGGCCTTCTCCCAGGACGCGGTCCCATTTTCTGGGGAGTGTAAGGCAAGGCTTGCACAGGAGCACTTGGGCCGACTCCGTCTGCTTGGTGCTTCTATCCGGTGATATCTCTCCACGTGGGAGCGGAAAGAAATGAACCCAGGAACCATGTCCAGGAATGAATCGCTGTGTCTGCAACTTTATACTCATTAGAGTTTTAATAAACCCCTGCTTGTTTTTATAGGGATTTTTTTCCACCACCTTTGAACTACCTTAAAACAATAAAGTGCCCTCTTCACACAGGTTGGCCCAGTGGGAAGACTGACCTTATTTCGATTCTCCTACTGAGAGTGACGACTCAGCCTCAAGCGTCAGGGATGCCGTGATCGCATGAGACACGGAGTTCAGCCTCGGCAGTGACCCCTGGAAGAGGAAGCAACTGGACGTTTCCTCTGCACATTGTCTTGTGCAAAGATACAAGTAAGGGATATTTGTATTGGTTTGTTTTTTCTTCTTTGAATGGCAGAAAAACTTGCTAAGTTTAAGGAAAAATGGAGGAAAAAACCTGCATTATTAAGTTTTAATGGATAATCATGTGCAAACCAAAGACCCGTGTCTGCCCCGTGGCCGTGACCGTCCTCACACCGAAAGGCCTGAGCACACTTTGGGGGCACAGATTTCAGATAAGCCAGCTCTCGCGCTTAACACCCGAGGATGCTCCCCGTTACCTGAGCAGTGGCCCCCTACCTGGTGCACCTTGGCATCATCTGTGCGCTCGCTGTTCCCTGGAACGCTCTTCCCGTCTCTTCCCTGAGGTTTGGCTTCGGGAATTTCTAGAGACAGTGATCGTGCTAATCGTCCTGTGTGGTGCTCTGCTCATCCCCTGTTTTTCCTGCTTGTTTACTTGTTGACTTTCTGTTTTTTCCCACCTGGAGGGTAAACTCCATGAGGGCAGGGACTCATCATTGTAGTTTCGCTTCTGAATGAATGAATGATAGATTATAATGTACAGTGCTCCTGTTCTTAAAGGCACAGTGCTCCGTGCGTCGCAGGAGACCAGGCTGGGTGGTCTCCAAGTCCCCATCTGTTTTTTTGATCCCAACGGTCAGGTCCAAGTCTCATTTAAAACCTCCTTTCTCTCCTCCTGGATGGAATCCACAGTACCAGACTCAAATCCGCTTCCCTCAGAAAACCTCTCCTAGGCCTCTCCCCATGCCCTCTCTGATCCTGCATCCAGCGAGCAAGCGTACACTGAGCGCCAGCTGCACGCCTGCACCGCACTTGGCTGGAGGTTCAGCCGTGAACAGCATTGTCTCAGGCACGCAGGCTGGCCCCCGTGGAACAGAGCACAGATGCAAGGAGCGAGGGGCTCACGGAGCTTTGTGGGTTAGGAATCTTCCCTCCCATCACTGGCTCCTGTTCTAGACTGAGTTAGGGTCTTCTGAGTGCTACCCAAAGCATCCTGGTACTAATTTTCCCAAGCCATTTCTTTGTGTTTAAGACACTGTCCTTCATTCCAACTGGAAGCCTACAGAGCTGCTCCCAGGCCAGAAAGCTACTGTGTGGGGCTTTCTCTACTTCAGATAAAAGTCCTGCTGCCTGAATAGTCAACAGTTCCATCCAGCTCAAGGGAAAGGAAGATTGTTGAGACACAGCTGCCTTCAGAGGGGAGCTGACAAGCAGGTGGAAGGTAGATGTTTTGGAGGGAAGAGCCCAGCTAACAAGATGAGGGAGGAAACATCCGTGTTGTTATTTCTTCTTGGATTCATAGTCCATTTAACCAAGGGTGCTGACGGGGAGTATTTGGATAGAAATATTAGATGCTCCGAAATCAATGCCTAATACCCTGCCAGAGGGACCCAGCTTCTGACCATCGTGCACACTCATACCCACACACATACACACTCACACACACCTTTACAAGCTCTCACATACTCACACACATACCCCTACGCTCATTCATACGCTTATACAAACTCTTATGCGCACACACATGCACACACTGCAAGAGATATAATCGACCCGAGTCACCCCCCATCTTTTTTCAATTTCTAAAAAGCTACATTTACCAAAATAAGTAAAACATGTGAGGTATGGGATCCACCTTGTTGAAGGACTGGGTTTTATTGGTCAACTGGTAAATCAAAACACATGGAAAAGTGCTACATTTAGGAACATACTGCGACTGTATTACCCCCTCGTTTTACTGGTTCATCCCTAATCGGAACCAGCTGGCAATAAAGAAGCGAGTTCATGGGAATCCACCCTTTGTTGAAAGCGGGGCCGGGGGGATGCTGGAGGCCGATGAGCACGATGAAAACAGCTGTAATTGACTCACGAGGTCAGGCTCTGGGTAGAACTCGGGGACAGAGGTGACACTACAGCTGGTGCATAAAATGCCGGGCTCCCGGTTGCCTATAACTGTGTACAGAGGAGGCAGAGAGAAAGGCGCCATTTATGAGGCTCCTCTCACTGTCTGCTCCCGCTGACGTGACTCAGGCCTGCTCTAGAATCTCACAATTACTCTGGGATGCTTGTTGACATTAATCACCACAATGGTAATGATGGCATTCGTGATGGTGATTATGGTGATGATGGAGATGGAGATGGTGGTGACGGTGGCAGCAGTCAGAAACTTCAAACAGGCTCCACAAAGCATGTGGAGCATCTCCACATCAAAGCGCTGCAATGTTAATTATGTGAGCCTTGTAACCTTGACAACATTAATTGAACAACTTTCCATTTTCCTTGTGTTTTATCTGTTTTAAACACTTTTTCCCCCAAACAAGGAAACTGGCATCTGAATTCTAGAAATGGAACATACACACATGCCACCCCAACTCCCCTTCCTGTCACAAATCAGCTCAGTGGCTCCACCCTTTGGAAAATTGTGATGCATTAGGAGGGTCTGTGGGATATTTTTAGCACCTGACACCATCCCATTTCTTCCTCTCTCTGCAGTGTTGTGTGATGTGTACCTTGTTTAATCACCATACTTTAATTTTATAGACAGACTTTTTCATAAGTCTGCTAATATTTTGAGATCTGCAGAGGGCTCAGCATCAGAGTTGGGACTGTCCGCCTAGACCTGGGCCAGGGCACACTGTACACACGAGCTGCCCTTGCTCCTGGGCCCAGGGCAGGCCTTAGTGACACTCTCACACAGAATCTGAAGCCAGCGTCTCGTTTCTTCTCGACACAGGATGTCTGGGATTCAGTACCAATTGCTGGAAGTTGGTGAGATGAAATTGATCTGTTATCCCTGGAGATGTTGTAATAAAAATAACACCAGGTCTTTTCATTTCAAACTTAATCCCTTGGCTTCCACTGGCCCCAAAGTGAGAGTAAGGGGCTGAGTAGAGTGTGCACTGCGTTTCTAAATCGTGAACATAGAAAGATTTAACCATTTTGGTGGTCAACACTCTGCACCCTGCTCATTAAATCCATTTAGGAGAACTGCTGTTTGGAATCATACGATGGATTAACGTCTTGGCTGTAAAAAGGGTGAAGTCGTATGCACGGACAGGCCTTGAGGCCCCCGTGTCGGCCCTGCTCCCAGCTCCCAGCCGAGGAAAACACTGTCCCCAGAGCACCGCCCCTCCCTGGCATTGGCTACACACCACTTTGCCGTTGGAATGTAAGCTTCCTGAGGGCAGAGACTTAATCTGCCTCATTCCCTGCCCCCTTCCTTGCCTTGGACAGTGCCTGGTGTGTGGAAGATGCTCAGTATATTTATAGAGCCAGTGAATGAATGAATGGGACTTCCAGATTTCTGAGTCCTGGACAGAAGGGTGGGATTCTCTCAGGGAATTCGTCCCCCAGCAGTGCCCCCCGCCGGCCAACTCCTTGCATGTGGAGAGAACAGCAGGCGGGGAAGCCCCAGCCTGTATTTCCAATAAGAAATACGTGATTTTTCTCGTATTCACTTTTGTGACCAAGGGGAGCCCCTTCTGCTGAGTCACCCTGCTGGTGGGCGAGCAGCTTTGGAAACCAGTGCACTCAGTGACTACGGGATGCACTTCCCGTCACACGTGGGGCCTGCGTCCGTGAAGAGGAGACCTGAGGGGTTCACGAGCGAGTACCTGGGGTCTGATTTGCTCTCTTTGTGGCATTTTCCTCTCTGCTGGGCTGAGCTATGACCAGGTTGGAGCTCCTACCTCACGAGTCAGACCTCTTTGCTTTTCCCGGCTCCACCTTTGGCACAGTCTCTGGACCCGACTCCGTGCCAACCTGGAAAGGGGGGCACAGAGCTGTATGTGTCTTGGAGGCAACACGACAGGGGCGTAAGGGCCTCAGGGTTGCAGAGGGAAGAAAAAAGGCTCACTTGGGTGCAGACACGCCTCTGGCTGGTGAACAACCACACTGGACCTCTTTACAATCTACTTGGAAAGCCTTTCCAAGAGGCCTGAGAAGGAAGTTTCCTTGGTGTGTGTGATGGATTCCAAAGCTATGAACTTGCCTTGTTGAATGTTCTCTGAAGTGACATGGACTGTGTTCTCTCCATGAAAAGGACATGCTGGAGGATTTCCTTCGAAGGAATTCCTTAGAGGATTCAAGTTGGAGGGGGAAATTTAGAGGGAAAATGGGTTCCCCCCCAGGAATTCTAATGAATGAAAACCATCTTTCCCACACCCTCCAGTCCTACACGAGCTTGGAGAGCTATCACATGGATCACTACAAAGAACTTGGGCCATAATTCTGGAGTGAATTGCAGGACTGGGAGATTTTCCTTGCCTTCAGAAAAGACGCAGCCACTCTTCCCTTATCCCTGGGCTTCCCTCCAGATACACCATTTAATATTGTGTTCCTCACAGGGACTGTGGGACCATGGACCCAGCTCGTGAAGGCCCTCGGTGGGGAACGCAGGGCCATAGTGATGTTAGACACCATAAACCCAAGTCACGTTTTGAATGTCAAAAGGAGTCCTAATACCCAACTGCCTCCCCTACTTTCTTCCTAAGAGAACTCAGATTTTATGCCAAGGGGCAAGGTGCCCAGCTAAAAGACCACCGTGTCCAGCTTTCCTCCTCACCGTGGGGTCCAGTACCGCCCCCATCATCCCCGCCATTAACATTGGGGGGATGATGGAGCGTACGTACGCGGCGCTAAAGTAGCCTCCAGTCACCCTTCGGCACCAAAACTGGTGTAGGAGCACCCATGGCTCAGAGTGTCAGCAGTGGGGTCTGGGCTCAAATCCCAGCACAGCCAGGGTGTGGAGCTGAGGACAGATTACTCTCTGGGCTTCAGTTGTTCCCTGTCTGCAAGATGAGAGTAACCCCAGCTCCTAACATACGGGTACTGGGAAGGTTAGGTGATCAGAGGGTGATGGTGGTGATGACGATGATGGTCTTAGCACCACGACCATCGCTAGGGATAACAAAGCAACTTCATCTGTGGTTGCAAGGGTTGAATGTTTCCGGCAGTCAGATGATATGTTTTCCAGAGTGTGTCCTCACCCTAAATCGAGGAAGATGCTAAAG